ATAAAAATGTGGGGTCTTAGGATAGCCATTGTCCAGCTACAGCGTGTCAAAAATTTAAGAAGAAATCAGTTTTTAATTTTTAATTTCTAAACCACTTGACATAATTTAATCAAATTCGATGTGCTTATTTAGTATGACAGTAGGTATGAACAAAAAATTACCAGTTTTTTGGAAACTTACCAGTGGCGGAAGTATGAGTATTATCGATCAATATTTGCAAATAAAATATATCACCCTGTATAGTATTGCAAATAAAATAGGTCCTCATATGCGCCATTGTATTATCTTTACTTTTTGTTTCTTTACAATTATTGTATTCCAAACAACACGATTAACAACAAAATTGATTTATTTGATCAAGTGCATTTTTACTACACCTACTTATTAAATTACTTAAAATAATTAATTAACAATGGAATTACTTTACTATGATTTATTATAACAAATGTTGGAAAATACATGTTTTAGATCTTATTGAAATTGCAACTCGTACAAGTGCAAAAATTCCAGGAGCAGCTCTTATCACATTACAACCAGTTTTGTTGACTAAGTGTTCGCCAGATTCAATGTGAACCTTGTAAGCTAATGTCTTGAGATGTCCCCAAACAAAAAAAATCAATAGGGTTCATATCGGATGATTTGGGTGGCCACGGTTGACCTGGTTCTTGAGTGCATTGCCCAATCACGTCATTAATAAATCTTTCATTTAAAAATTCACTATCAATCAAACTGAAATGTGGGGGAGCCCCGTCGTGCATAAACCACATTCTTTCACTTACCGCATAAGGAACATCGTCAAGTAGTTCAGGTAAAACGTTTTAAATGTTTGTAGGAGGCACTGGTTAAAGTTCTTGGTAAAAAATAAGGCCCAACAAGAAAATTTCCAATAATATCCACCTATATTGAAAGAAAACTGATGTTGAAATCGAGATTCCATTATGGCATGAGGGGTTTTCATCAGACCAAACGTGTTTATTGTGGTTTCATTATAGCATCTCTGGATAAATTAACTTTGTAAATAATATGCCAGTTACCACTGGCATAAGTCAACATTTTGTTCAATTTTTTGCAAAATCCAGTGGCAAAATTGTAGGCGAGCAGAATAGTTTTGCCGGAGGTGAACTCTTTGTATGTGATACGGTAAGATACGGTGTGATACGGTGGTAAGATTTGCAGCGATTTTCCTAATGTTTAGGTCTTCTTCAATTTAGTGTAGGACTTCTTCCAACTTACCTTTCTGAAATGAGCTTGAATCCGAAAGACGTTGAAAAACATTTCCGAACATTCTTGGATTTGGAGTTGGATGATTTGTAAATCTTTCCATATAAATTCGCCTAGCCTCAGTACCATTTCCATCTGCAAGGCCATAAATGTAAACCATATTGACCCTTTCAGCATTTGAATCCAATTTGAATAAGCCATTATTAAAACTTAATCTTGTTAAAAAATAAGTTTCATTAGCAAATAATGATCGATGATACCCACACCTCTCCAAAGCTGGTAATTTTTGTTTCATATTTAACGAAATATGCACACCGAATTTGGTTAAATTATCTCAAGCGGTTTAGAAATTAAAAATTAAAAACGGATTTTTATTTTATTTTTGACACACTGTAGCTGGACAATGGCTGTCCTAGGATCCCTGAATTTTTTACCTCTACTTGAGAAACACTGTAAAATGTAATAATTATGTTCTACCTTTTAGCTTAAGATAATTACAGGTCAATGTATTATTACTTAAAATCTAATACTAATATTACTTAAAATTTAATACTTAAAATCGACCAATAACGAAATAACGAAAGTGGGAGTGAATTACCAAGTGAAATATAATAACTCAAATAACTTTTATGACCTTCCGAGTTATAATGGAAGTGGTGGGACCCTGCAGGGTTAATTTTTACCTGCGGCTTCTTTTTACCTGGTAGAGACAAACTTTAATCCATCACGAGTAGAAAGTCTTCCCTCTTGGAACAGCGGGATGTCAGCGTTCTGGTCCAATCGTATCGTTGCTACTCCATAGGAAGAACTGTGGCCATCTAAGTTTCTCCACAGTTCACTGGGATATCGTTCAGATTGCTGACACGCTATTCCATTTTTTAATGAAAAATATAATTTCCAATTTGTTCAATGTGTTCAAGTTTATGTTTTTCTGTTAAAGTGCTTTCATATTCTGAGGTAACTATTACAGCAGGTAGTATCTTGTTTCTCGCTGAAACAAATGCAATATGTATAACTATTAATTATTGAGTCTAAATAAGTATCTAAATCTTATGTTGTGTAGATGTTGATGCAAAATTTTAACACATATGTACGTATTTCGATTTGTATTTATTATTTTATTTATTTAAATTTTTTCAAAACTAATTAAACTTATAAGAAAAAAATATTTTTGCTAGCATTTAACCATATTCTATTATTTAAGGAAAGTCGGTATAAATGAAATACAAAAACCACTACCTTAGATATTCAATTTCAAAAATGGGGGATTTTAAAACATTCACTGAGATTTAAGTAATTTAAGTAGAAGGGTACTATATCGTTTTTTAGAGCATTCACTCACAGTAGTTTTTATGTTGTATTAACATCAATTTAAATAAATACATATTTTAAGTACAAGCCATCAAATTTCCTTTGTACAGTTTGAGAACTAACCACCCTGTCCTGTATAGCAATAAAGGCTTGATGGTGTGGAATTTTTGAAAGGTTGTACCTCGGCTTTTAAATTCAAGTGTGCGGTGTTAAGGTAACGTACAATTTGTTTTTATTCTTGTTTTCGTTTTGCACATTTAAATTATACCCTTATAACTACATGTCAAAGATTAAGTGGGTGTTTCGTAACACGTATGAAAATAATAATTAGGCAGATGGAATCGCTTTAAATGGTTTTTGTTTTTGCTTATTTGCCGTTTCGGTACAAATCGATATAGAATTCTCGTTAATTGTTATCGTATTGTGTGGTCTTGTACACGAGTGAAGCTGCAGTGCAACTGAACAGAAATAAAAAAAAAGGAAACGGAAAAACGGTTTTAAATTTAATGTTTTATTTGTGACTGTTTTGTTTTCATCTTTATCTACGATCGGTTCTCGATCGACGTAGTAAGTTATTTTATTTCTTATCCGATAAATCTCTATAATAATATAAAAACCGCGAGTTAAATGATCTGTACAATTTAATATATAATAATAATAATATAAAAAAATAACAATAAATATTTTACAAGAAATAAAACGTTTCACAAAAATTGAAATCTCCTCAGTTCTCGATTCTGAAGAAAATCGTTCGTAACACTAAAAAGTGGGCATAAACATTTACCTTGACATACACTAAGAAAAAAAAATAGATTTTTTATAAAAAAAAATAGTTAATATGTGTCGAATATGTCTACAGAAGTGTAGAAAAAAGATATAGTTACCTATACTTACTCGAATTTCTGTTCTAATTTCTAAACAGTTTAAGTTGATTCAATATGTAGGTAATACATTAAACTGTTATTTAAATCTATTTAGAATGCTTTTTAATACTTGATTAATTGTTATTATTAAATTAAAAAGACGTTACTTTAAAAACATAAACACGAAGAGGTAGCTTCACACGCTTATAAATCGTGTAGTTAAAAATCGTTACAATTTATTCTGTCCAACAGCTTTCCGTCCATATGCCAGATAAATCGTACTATTCGCCCTGTCCAGATAAATCTTAGAATGTACCGTTACATGTGTGGCTGCCATTAAAAATATTTAAATATTTATACTGTGTCTTTAAAAATTAGGAGAGGATATTTTAAAAGTAAATAAATCAAGGTGCGAAAACTCGATTGGCAGAAGTATTTTTTGCGAACAGAACGTTTTTTTTAATATCTGCTGACTTACCTACCACATTGATGCGGGAAAAATTTTTTGAGAACTGCTTACTTCACCGATGATGGCCTTGTTTACTAGTATTAGTGCATGACTATTTGAAAATTGTTCCACACGCTACCACCATGTTTATTTATTGTTACTGTATTGATAGGCTATTTTAGTATGATTATTTACAATAAATAATACGCACACTACACGAACATTGCCATTGGAAAAAGTAAAAAATTTTGGAAAATAACTGACTTACATATTAGGTATTAGTATTCATTCACAATAAAACACTTTCTGTAATTAGAACTGAAGCAGAACTAACTGATGATTATCTAAAATTGAACTAATAATTTTTCTGTTTACGTACTACAAAAATAAACGGGGAAAAAACGGACGCACGCCATATATTATCACGAAAAAGATGTGAATATATTTTTTATATATTTTATATGACCAGGGACGATTCTGGAGATTCTCAATAAGTTTTAAAAATTGTAATAATTATTATTTATAAGCCAGTTTTGTAGTTTCAACTATTTTGATTATGGAAGAAGCAACTAAATTACGAAATAATAATTTTTTATGTTTATACCTTCAAAAAATTATTTGTCCAGAGCTCAGAAACATACATATAGGTACTGTGATCTATGAAAAAAAAATACATTTTACATTTTTAACCGAAAAATCAAAAGTTGTATAAAAATTTCAGTGACGTGCCTATGTGATACTTCAACGAAATATATCTACAGAGAATTGAGTAAAAGGCCTCTTCACAAAAAATTGAAAGCCTTTAGATGTAAAAAATGATCTTGTAAATGAATCCAGAAATCAAGATGTAATTTTCGCCTTTTAATGTTTTAAACATCTTAATACGGCTTGCCTAAATCGCTTCGGGTAATGCGAGAAACTCCCAAAAAGTGTCGAAATTATGTAGATGGTGGCGATAAACGTAATATATAACACAAAAATCAATTGAAGTTTCGGTAATAACTTTCAAATATGTATCTAGGATCTATTTATGTAATAAAAAATACTTGAACTTTATTCATGTTTTACTTGTGTTAATGGTCTTTACAAATTTTGACACGCTGTATATAAATACCTGTATGCTTTAGAAATTTATAAATGTTTTAAATATTTTACAGGTGCAAATGGACTCAGAAGAAGAGGACGACAGACGTACACGCGGTACCAGACGTTGGAGCTCGAAAAAGAATTCCACACAAACCATTACCTGACCCGGCGACGACGAATTGAAATGGCCCATGCTCTCTGTTTAACGGAAAGACAAATCAAAATTTGGTTTCAGAATAGGCGCATGAAGCTCAAAAAAGAAATACAAGCGATAAAAGAGTTAAATGAGCAGGAAAAACAAGCGCAAGCCCAAAAAGCAGCGGCTGCAGCGGCGGCCGTTGTGGGCCAGGTGGATCAGAATTAGTGGATTGGTTCACTGGTTTTGGAGGGGCAGCAAATCCTTCAAAATTAAGGTGAGTGCTGTTTTGTGTTTAAATTCTTTCGAGGCTATGCGCATATAATTAAAGTTTTGGAGTGACTATACAAATCTTTATGTTCCTTGGATGTTAATTGTCTTCTAATTTATAAGATTAACAAAAAACTCTCAAGTACCTACAGTTGTTTATAAAACTATAGGTCTTAAATTATTTTTATAATTTGTTATTTCATTTTTTTAAATCTTAAATATTTTGGTTGATTTTGACATGAGTTCTACAAAAAACTTTTTCTCTTTGTTTAAAGTAAAACAAAATATGAAAGAACCAGCTTTTAATTTTTATATTTTTTGTCATCTTAGAATACGTAACAATTGATGAACATATCGCGAACCGTTCGTAAACAGTTAAACGCTGACGTCTACAAAAATAAACTTTTTGTGTGCTAGCGAGCAATTCACCGAATGATCTGTTTGCAAAATGTTTCAATGAAGATCACAAGCGGTTCGTATAACATCAGTGTCGTTTATATTTGTTTACGTCGAGCTCGACAAAATTCCCGTTGATTGCCGGTAACCCAAAACAAATGTTAACTGAACCTATGCTTGGTGTAAACAGTTCCCGTCAATTTTGTCTCATTGAAGAAGTGACAGTTGAAAGTTGTGATGCTATTATCCAATAAGATAGCCTATAAGAGACCGGGAGAAGAAAGATTTGAGGGATCTTAAATTAACTAAATATAGAAATAAAATAAAAAAAGTAGTACGTGTTGAAAAATTTGTAAAAGCGTTAAGTTGTAGCTGACATACGACAAAAGTTTTGTAGTCTGGCTGCATCTTCTAATCAGTTTTTGAAAAAGACGCCTTTGTCAGATCCATGGACCATTTTTATAATATCTTACAGTATAAGCGCTGCAAGCCAGAATTTAATTCTTTTTCTACAGTAACATTATTTATCTCTAGACAAACTTGGAACATGACTTAACTTTTTGGCGAACAACACTGAATACAAAAATTTAGTTTTCTTAGACATCAACGTGTACTAGGTACCTACTCCTGACCTTGCTCATGGTTTATTGAAAATATTTATTGATTGTTGAAAATTTTGATTAGTTCAACATAAACTAATAAAAAGTTGTTAATATTATACGAGCTCTTTGTAGTCCTAACATAAATATTTTGCGAATAAGCTATTGGGTAATCTCGCGCACCGCGAATACGCACCTTTAACCATGTAACTACGTGATGCGCATTAGCAAGGCCAGGCGGAGCTGCGGCTAAGCGCATGCCCCATAAGAGCTCTGTGCCTCTGCCATACTGGACTCTGTTCTTAACTAATCATCTCGAGTTTGTGTTTGATCGAGTTGTATGAAAAATGCTTAGAAATAAATATCTATTGAATATTTCCGCTATTCCGTGATGTGGGGACTCAACAAACTGAATCTTATTAATCCGGTTAGTGTTATGAACTTAGTCCGAATTGAGTTACTTCGTGTCTCAGAACCGTATGTTTTTTAACCGTGTGTTTTTTTTATGGATAAGACAAGTAATTGTATTCATTACGAATAATGGAGATTTTCTGTTTTGGCTTATTACGAGTATAATGGTTTTTTGCAAATGTAACATTATCTGTATCGATTAGATTGTTTTATTTTTATAGGTAGGTACCTATAGGTTCTTGTTTGACAAACAATTTTTTGCTTATAATTAAATCAGTCGATGAAAGTGAAGACGACTAACAAAAACATTAATCTTTATATGATTGATATTAATTAATAAGACTGAAATCTAAACTCGATTTATTGTGAATAATTGGAACATGTTACTTAATGAAGGCACTAGGGACTCATTCCAATTGGATATACCGACCTTCAAATAACTGAAAATATCGTTTAATACAGTGTGATTCAGAACTTATCAAAAAAAAATAATATACAGGGGACTCTTATAAATACAATTTTGTAAAAAAAAATCAAAGAAAGCAGTTCGAAAATGATTTAAAAATACACTGGTTCACTATAAACCCTGACCTGACGCAAGGCAAAGCATACAGTTGGCGACCGACACGGCGGCAGTGTAATAAAAAATGAACTGAAAAAAAAATTGAAAAAATTTCTTTCCTGAGGAAAGAAATTCTTTCAATCAACTGCTTTTACCGCTATTATTATTAATTGATCAAATTAATTTGTGGTTTTAATTAATAAAATAATTTGACATATCTAATGTTACAACAACTGTTCAAAATTTTATCCACCGTCGTGTAAACACATTTGAGCCCGTCTCAGCCAGTTTCTACGAACTAACACAAATATTGTCTTATTTCACCGTACACTGAAAAAACAATTATTTTCTANAGTTCACATTAAGCTAAGATATATTTCTAAAAATCTTATGTCATCTACATCTTAAAACATGTAGATTAATAATAAAGATGCGAAATGTAATATTACAGTAAAAATAAATTAACATTCAAATAAGATTTATTACAAAACCATGAACTTATTATTAGTTACTTTTCACACTATATAAGCTAGGCAATATCCAAAACAAGGATTAGTTCATGGCAAACGATATTTATTTAGTCCAAATAAATCCTTTTTTCAGTGTAACGCAAATGCTTCACCATAACACAAAAAATGTTGTCTTGACAACCATAACACAAATGCTTCACCGTAACACAAATGTTGCTTCTCCATAAATTAAAACGATATCCACCAACTCCGAGTTGCTATACACGTAAGTCATTTTTGAAACTTGAAAAACTAATGTAAACACTATCACAAAAACGTTTTAATACTAAAATCGGATTTCAGTATTGGGAAACGCCTGGGACCACGTGGAGGGATAACGCATTGCGCACAGCGCACAACACAAATGCCGCTAGAAATTACAGTACTCAGCGATGTAAGGGTTGAAAATATTACAAGTTCGATAATTTTTTCTCGGGAATTATAAGTTTTACAAAATTTTTTTTATGATATTGACTCCATTTTCCATAACACATCTATCTGTTCCCAAATTTTTTTACTTAAGTTGTGAATCACCCTGTATATTTTGGATAATTATAATCTGAAAATAAATTGTATCTTTCTTCTTTTCCAAACCTGTGCTTTAGTTCTCCAAAGAGTCCTCTAAAAGCAATGCGGCCAATTGTGATCTATTGACATTTATTTGTCGAGCAGATTTATTATTTTTACAAAATTCAAAACTGAGGGATGTATTTTAATACTCCAAGTGCTGCTTGCTTTAATTAATTGAGATTATATCAAGCTCTTGCTATATTTGTAAATCAATTCATTAATAGACAATTTATATATGTATATATATATCCTATTATTGCATAATTATTTTTGTATCTGTTGCTTACTACCATCACCTACCTATATGGGTTTTATCATTTAAATATTTCACCTAAGGTATTATTTCAATGATATTTGCCGAACCTACTACACCCTAGTTTAAATTTTGCTTTATACAATATGTATGTATCTATTATAATAATAAATTGTTGTGTTTATTGTTCTATAAACAAGTTGTAAATTTAATGTAATACTGTCGCTGTCAAATTACGTTTAAAATTAATATAGTATCATATATTAAGGATATATATGATGCAGATTAACATTATTTAAATTTAATCAGATATTTATAATAAACAATACATTATGGCTTTGAATGTAACGTAGGTAAATTATGTTCGGGAATGATATTAAAATTTAAGAATGAATGTGTTTATTTATATTTTTTAAATTTCAAATCCCAGAATTATTAAATGAAGAATTTTATATAAATATTCAAATAATTTCAAGTTCTGTATACTACAATAGGTATAGTAATAAATTAGATATTTATATTTTTTAATTGTGGATAATAGGACAAGACATATTTTTTGTTACGATGTGTATGTTGTATTGAATATAATTTTTAAGAAACGGAGTTACCACAACTGCATTTTGTCCAGTTGAAATAAAAAACATATTTAAACCTTAATCTTAGTCTTGAATTTTATAATAAACGAAGTAAGTATATAATTTTGGAGCAACAAAATGATAGTATGCCTATCCATACCGCGTATGGTTGACGAATTCAAAATAAGTGTTAGCGGTTACCATAGAATACGCAGAAAATTGTTAATATGAATATAAACTGCTATATATAAAGCGTGACCTATAATCCACAAAAATCAAGATTGGCTAGAAGGGCACCGACGCGACGTGTAAAATTATCTGTTGGCTAAAAATAAAATATCTATCGGATATAATAAATTTTATAACAGATCGGTTCCAAAATATTTTTGTATACACCCAGAGAAAATAATTGTTAATTCTTGAAAACCGATTATTTAACATTATTATGTAACATTATTCTTAGTCATAACGTGACGAATCTGTAGGTATATTAAAAATTTTGGAAACTAAAAACTTGACAATCTCTCACTGGCAGCGTATATACACAGGTCATTAGATATAGGGAAAACCCTGAGCGCAAAGCGGTACCTTCGCTAGATTAAAAATACTTAGTTTCTAATGCATTAAAATAAGTTACGACCAAGCAAAAGTCAATTGTATAATTAAACTAGCAGGCAGTAGATTCGTTGTAGGTAAACATATTTAAAATATTTATTTCTCACCCGTATTTTTTTTTTTTTTGATTGTGTAGTAGATAATCAAAAAAGATGGGCTAAAATTGTTTCAATTTATTTATTTTATTGTTTGTTTAATTTTTTTATTTATTTTATTAATTAATACAAAAAATAGACACTTAGGAAATTGTTCCTTTGATAATTTGTCTTTTATTCATCAGAGGAAATTAAAGTGTATTCTAAAAGAAAAGTTGAAATTCGCCACAAAAAAATTGTGAAAGAAATAACGAATTCGACCTTTTCCACCCTTCAAAGATTACTTTCATTGATCAAGATGTTATGTAAATAAAAGTCCAAACCGCTCGGCTTTGAAACATTTTTCACGATTTGGAAACCTCTCAACCTATCGTTAGTGCCAGTGAATTTGCAAATTAGGGAGACAAAATTCAAAATTAAAG